CCCATTTCTCCACAGACAGGGTGGGGGGATGTTTGGGTAGTTTCTGTCTGTCCCCTAACCCTCTCCAGGCCTCCCTCCATCTTTCTCTTCAATGAAGATCCCTCGGGTTCCCTGCCTCTGAGGGCGGCTGGTTGGTGAGTTAGATGACACTACCCCCCAAACCAGCTAAACCCCTTGCCTTTGAGTGGATGCCAACTCACAGTGACCCTACAGAACAGAGTGGAACTGTGTCATAGGGTTTCCTTTACTGGAACAGCCAGCCTCATCTTTCTCCTGACAGGTACCTGGTGGCTTTGAACCGCCAACCTTGTGGTAAGCAACCCAGTGCCTAACCCACTACACTGCCAGGACCCCTGCCATCAGCTCATCATCCTTTACTTGGGCAGAGACTGCAAGGGGAGGTACTATTGTAAGACATGTGCACTGGCCTACTCACCTAAGTGAGTGGAACCCACAGGGCAATGACACTCAAGAAAGCATGGTGGGAAAGCGTTCCCTCCTGAACACCTGAGGTCCCACATGTCCACCTCTGCAGCCAGGAGTTTGGGTTTGTGTATGTGTGCATGTGTGTGTGTGTGTGTGTGTGTGTGTGTGAAATACACCATCCTTCAAGGTCTTTTTTGTTTTTTTCATGACTCCCTTTTCCAAGTCAGCCTCACAAGACCTGCCTCAGGACCAGAGCAGGAGGGCGGCAGGGGCTCTGTTGGGCTTCGAAGAGGCAGGGACTGTGGCTGGGGGATGTCCCCTCAGCTGGGTGCGGTGCCATTGTGTGTCCTCCTGGGGCCGTGAGGGATCCTGGACCTTTCACCGGGCATTGCTCTCTGTATCCACCCCTGGATGAAGCTCAGGCATAGGAACCCTGGTGAGGCCGGCGGCGCAGGCCGGGCAGTATTGCTTTCTGTTGTGCGTGGGGTCGCTATGGGTCAGGAGCTAATGGTAACACAACTGGGCAAGGGAGATATCTTCACCCTGGAGGTACAGAGAAGGAGGCGCTGCTCCCGCTGTCAGAACTGGGACTGAATGCAGACTAGCTCCTCTGCCCAGCTCCAGGGGGTCCAGTCTCCCTCAGACTAGAAGTCCCAGGGGGTTCCCATCTTCTTCTTTTAGAGCCCTGGTGGCCCTTCGGGTTGGTTTCCCATGAGGCTGCTAACCGCAAGGTCAGCGGTTCCAAACCACCAGCTGCTCTGCTAGAGGCACAAGAGTTTCTGTTCCCATCGCTGCAGTCGGGAACCCCACAGGAGCTGTTATCCCAGGTCCCATCGGGTAGCCAGGCATCGGGACAGGCTGGACCGCACTGAGGGCCGTTTTGCGTTTGTTGTCCTTCCGTCCTTTTGAGTCCGTTCCTCATTGTGTGCACAACAGAAGGCAACGCGGCTCTGCCCTGCCCTCTCCTCAAGATGGTTCTGCTTGAGACCCCAAGTCAGTCCATTTCACGGAAGTCCTCTCTCTCCTTTCCCGTGGAGCCTATACTTTCCCATCATCGGGTCCTTTTGCAACGTTAGGCCCGTCGGGCTGAGACATGTTCTTCCCTTAGCACCTTGCTCCCTCTCTCTCTCTGGGAGGAGTGGGAAGAGGTGGCCGCTGGGCCCCTTTAGGAAGGCCCCTTTAACTCAAAGTTCCCCCTGGAAACGGGCAGGTAATCGCCCCCCCCCCATCCCGCCCCGTCCACATCTCCCCCATCCCCTTTAGATCCCGGATTCCAGCCCCCGGAGCTCACAATGGGTCACAGAATCCTGGGCGTGTGTTTGCCCAGCGCCAGTGTCCCCGCAGACGCACCCCGCCCCTGCCCTGCGCGTTCCCCTCCGCAGCGGCCCGAAACTCATTCCCTGGCTCGCTCAGGAAGTCTTCAGGCCATCGCGTCCGGCCCCCTTGGACATCAAAGCCCCCCTGAGAGCAAAGGACTTTGAAAGGCTACGGAGCTCACCCGCTCCTTATCGCCGCCCCGCTCCCTCCCGAGAAAGTCGTAAATTCCGAGCCTTCGAGGGCCCCTCTCCTCTCGCCCAAGGTCTCAAAGGACAAACCTCTCGCTTCCCGCCCCGCCCCTAGCTCCTGGCCAGTCTTTGGGGAGCACAGTGACGCGCGCAAAGTCTGGGCCACGTTGGAGGGAGGGGCGGGCGTCACCGGCGCCCTAGTGCCTCGGGGACCCTCTCTTGTGGTCCTCCATCCTCCCCCTTGCTCCCCTTGTCCCCGCTGTCCGGTGACGCCCCGTGTGTGTCTGCGTTTCTCTGCAGGCCAAGAGGGCATCCTCCGCTGCCACCCGGACCTGGCGGGCCGCGAGCTGCAGCGGGGCACGCTGACGGCCGAGTCGCAGCGCGAGCAGCGCGCCGCCGGCCTGCAGGGCCTGGCTGCGGCCGAGCGCGACCATCTGGCCATGCTCAACGCGCAGTACCGCGCGCGCTTCGGCTTCCCCTTCGTGCTGGCCGCGCGCCTCCGCGACCCGGCCTCGGTGGCCCGTGAGCTGGAGCGCCGGCTGCACTGCCCGCCGGCCCAGGAGCTGCGCACCGCCCTGGGCGAGGTGAAAACCATCGGTCGCCTGCGCCTGGCCGACCTGCTGGGCACCGAGCCCGCCCGGCTGTAGCCCCCACCGGGCCGGCCTGCTCGCGCCCACAGGAGGAGAGGGGGCTGGAAGCCCTCGAACGACTCTAGCGCCCCTCAGTCCCTCCGCTGACCCACCCCACCCCATCCCATCCCCCCCGACGCGCGGCCAGATGTGGGCGAGTGCTGCGTTCGCTTTGCGGCCCGTGCCTGCAACCTTCGTGGAGCCCAGTGCGTCGCCCTCTCGAGCCAGGGCCTCCCTCTTCTGCCCACAAGCCGGAAAACACATCGCGGATTCCCCAGCGCCTCTCTGGTTTTCTTTCGCCCGCCTCACTTGCGGCCTCGCGACCTGTGCTTGCGTGCCACTGGAGCCAGGGCAGGCTAGCGCCCGGGCAACGTCCGAGTGAAAGGCGTGGGCAGTGGAGAACCCCAGTGGAGGGCTGGGGCTGGATGGGGGGAGTTGTCTCCCAATACGGAAGGTCAGCCCAAGGGCAGAACGCGGCAGGCGGGACTGGGGGCACCACCAGCCATTAAAATAATAACATTCGCCGGCCGCCATCCAATGCGCCTGGGACCAGGGCCCGCAGCCTAGTGCGGCCTAGGTGGGTAATGGAGGGACATAGGTGCCCAGGGAAACCTTCCCGGACAGGACAGAGTGAGCCAGCTCGGGGCAGCCTGCCAACCTCCAACCTCGGAGTGCCAGAGCCTTGGCAGCCCAGTGAGCAGAGAGGCTGCTCACTGCTAAATCGGGTTTCAAACCGCGCACCCGCTTCTGGAGAAAAAGATTGAGGCTGTCTGCCCTGGTTAAGATGTCAGCCCCAAATATCCTGATACGCCCAGCCCTTTCACTTGATGGTACAGGGTCGCTCTGAGCTGACATCCCCTAGAGCGCAGTGGGTGTGGTTTGGGGGCTTGGGATGGGCTGGGCAGCTTCAAAAACTGGAGGCCTGAGCAGTAGCACCATGCTGAGGGGCCCACCACATTCATTTATTCATTCATTTACTCATTCATTCTCTCTCTCTCTCTCTCTCTCTCTCTCACACACACACACACACACACACACAATTTAGGCTTCATAAACCTAAATCATCCCAAATCACTGTCTTCTCTTCCCCAGGACATACAGGGTCAGAGAGAAGGCACATGCAGTCCAGAGTCCCAAGAATGGCAGTCTCCAGCCCAGCTACTCCACTTCTGGAAAGAGACCTGTGGGTGTACCCCCCCAACCACTGAACGCATGCACACCAAAAGAGACCACAGCTCTGGGACTGCTGGGAACAATGCACTCACTCTTTGCTCCCTTTCCGTCCTACAGGTGTCCCAGCGGGTGGGAAGGGTGGAAGTGAGATGGGGGAGATGGTATCAGGGAAGCTACTGCATCCCAGTACCCTGGGCCAGCTTCTCCTGGGGTGCTGGGAAAGCCAGGTGCACCCTGAGGAGCCAGCTTAATGACTTAGTTCTTGTCCTGCACTCCTCCCCGCCCCCCCTTAGTGGAGCCCTGGGGCAGGACACCAGCCTGCTCCAACCAGGGTAACTTGGGGGCTTTCCACGCTGAAACCTGCAGACCAGGTAGGTTCTGTGACCTGCCGCCCAGGAACATTCAGAGACAGGCCTTGTGCTGAGCCTCCCAGCCCATAGGG